TAAGGCTCTAACACTTCATAATTTGTCAAATTCAATTTAAATGACTTTGAAATTTTTATCCTACCTCATTCATGGGTCAATTAAGACATCAGAGGAGAAAATGTGATTTTTCAAAATTTAATTTATTTTATATAATTATTTTCATGCAAAAATAGGATTTTTTAAAGAAAATTCCTAACTTGACCAAGGTAAATCCTAATCCATTGAAATTTTTTTACTGGAGTTAGGATTAGACCAGAGAATCCCTTGGACCAAATTTCATGATTTTTTTAAATTTTATCTAAATTTTAAGAATTATTTTAAGTTTTGGGGTATTTATTAAATATAAAATATTTCAAATGAGGAAAATTAAGTTTTATATTTTTGAAAGGTCCTCCTAAGGTCAGTAAACTCAAAGGAGAAGATTTTTTTTTTTTATTTATTTATTTGAATTATTTTTAGTGAAAACTCATTTTTAGCCTTTAAAAATTATTTTTAAGGCCTCTAAAAATTATTTTTAATCTTGAAAGTACAATATCTTTATTTTAGAAATCAAGAAAAATATCTCAATTGTTCCTAAGTGATTAGGAAGAAATTTAGAATATTTCCAAGAATTTTGTTATCTTTGTGATTTTTATGTATTTTTAATTATTTAAATATTTAAATATAGGCTAAAAATGAAGTTTTTATTTTCAATACCATTTTATTTATATGAAATTTTGCCTTATCACAAAAAAACTCCAAAAACAAGTTTACATAACTTTTTGAGTTATATTTTGATCATTAAAAATCATTTATTGTCAAAAATGTCATTTAACATAGAAAATCAATTTGAGTTTTCAAATGAGTTCAAAATGCTTTGAAATTTTTATAGGGAGTTCTCTAGATCTTCGACAGCAGTGGAGATAAAAGATTAAAGCAGTTTTATATATTTTTTTCCAATGAATTACTTTAGTGTTTTAGGGTTGATGAAGATTAGGTTCATTTTGAATGCCATAAGAAATTTTTCTAAGAGTTCTTTGGTCATAGTAAACTTTTCAAAATTTTCTTGGATTTTTCTAAGCAAAATGCTAATTATTATGATTAATTTAAGCAAATAATGTGCTAAACTTGAAAAATATGTATCTCTGTCTAGGGACCTTCTCTAAATTTGAAAAAATCAGAGAATGTTTCCTTCAATAGGGGCTACAACATGCCAAAAATTTAAGCTATGATAATAATTCTACATGCATGGAGAGTTAAAATACTCCTAACACTTATTAATTTTTTAAAAATAAAATATTCATCAAATTGACATAAATTTTAATCCACATTGTTCTCCTCTTTTCACTGAACAAGTGAGTATTTTTATTTTATTTTTATGATTTTTTCTACACAAAGTTATGTATTTTTGAAGTTTTGGGGATTAAATAAAAAAGAAAAAGCCCCTATTTTTCTACTTATCCATGTCTCATCAATCAAACAAATCCATCCAAACTAAAACAAACATGGTCATGTGTCGCTGCCTGATTGGGCGCTACCAGCCAGCTCATCTCCGTCCCTATCGGACCGCGCTCCGTCCAACGCAATCAGGGCCGCTCAATCGATACACACTCGATCTGACGGTCACGGGTCATCGTCCCAAATGAACTGGACGCAAAAACCATCCATTTTAAAACGCTAATATCTCACTCGATTCTCAATGAAATTGAGTGCAGTTTTTTCTTAAATGCTCGTCTTGACTAGCCAAACACATCCATAGGGTTGATGAATAAATTAACTTTATATTCATGAATAATTAAAAGAAGTTCGGTTTAGGGTTAACTTTCAATACCTTGGTCCAAGAGGGATAGCCTCGATTGGATGCTTGTAGAAGCTTTGTGTGAGTCCCAGGAACATGAGGATGGATCCTCTGGTCATTGTGAAATTGCTAGACCCAAATTCGACCAAGGTTGATTTGGGGGTTTGCTTGCAGTCCACCTTAGGGTGGGTGATGGGGCTTCTGTGGGGGATCTTCCTCTCTTGATATTGGGATGGTGTGGGTGCAATTAATTTGGATTTGGTTTAGGTTTGAAGGATGTCCTGTTTTGGCCTTGAAATTGAGCTCCAAAATTGAACTCGAGCAAAGACTTTGAGTGGCTAGGGAAGGTTTTGTTAAGCTCCAGAGGTCTCCAGGTAGCTCTGGAAGAAATTTTACAGAGTCTCCCCAAGGAAATTCAAGCTCTCTCTTTTTTGCCATGGAGGGGGAGTTTAAATAAAATGGCCTAAGCTGGCTTCCAGGGCTAATTGAGGGGTGCATTTGGTTGCATATGTGGAGGGGAGAGAAGCTCCAATGAGCAGCTGGGCTGATTTGGCCTTTGGGTTTGAATTGGGTAAAAATCCCTTGTCTTGGCCATGGTTTTGGCCATTTTCCAGCCACCAAGGTGGCTGGCCGGCCAGGCATTGGTCACCTCTTGGCTCAGGTAAGCCAGGGGTGGCTAATGATGATTATCTTCAAAGGGTAAGTGATGATGTTGGAGATATTTCAAGTTAGGTCCAAAAATGGGTAAAATCCCTTAATTTGGGGAT